TGAAAAAACATTTTCAGTGACAATGTTTGGATTTGAAATCAAAATAATGGATAAATGTTGTGCTTGTGGTAAACCGCCACGGATCAGTAGCAGACTCCTGTGTGAAATCTGCTTCTCCTCTCACAAGAGACACCTAAGAGAGAAATTTCCCCAATTTTCAAAAATGAAATTCAGACCCTGAATAAATGTCTAAAAATCCTGATTGGAGTATCACTATAAATAGTTATAAATGATTAATAGAAGGCTTTAAAAAGATCGGTATCGGTGATCGGTATTGGCAGATACTGCTTTCTGTGATCGGTGATCGGCCTCAAAAATCCTGATCGGAGCACCCCTAGTCGCGATAATTAAATAACCGTCTAATCGCGATTATTTGATCTAACCGTGGTTGATTATTGTGCTTTTTATACGGCACAAGGGGGTTTCATACACCAAAAGAAACAGAAGAGCACCAGTTTGCTTTTCATTCACTGTATAGCCTATATCATCTGAAGCCATTCCATATCTTAATGTGAGGGACAGAATTGTATTTACATTGTTAAATTTAAGTTTACAGAAATTGATGTTCCTTCTGCTGCAGCTGTCAGTTATTCTACGTTCAGCATTCAAACAGCACGTCACGTTCAGTTATGACAGTCAGCACGGTAAAACTCTCTCTCCATGATGATATCCCATTATAATTAATACTTGATGTGTAGATGAAGGTCTGGGGATTCACAAAAAATTACATCTTGCTGGAGTTCATTGCTCTCTCATTTCTCTTATCTTTGTTTGTACTGCGTGGAGTGCAGTGCACTGTGACTTAAGTTGCTTCAAGCACATCATTCTGCACCCAAGATGTGCATAAGCTCTGCGACTCCATGTAGCTTCAAGTGCACCATTCTGCACCCTGGATGTGCATAAGAGCTTTGTGCCGCTCTGTTTGAAGCATTTCACATTACAAAGTTTTGCACACAGAAAGATTATTAGAAACCTATCTTTTTCTTATTCTCTTATTATATCTTATTTTCACAAATGTATTTTGTAAGAATACAAATAGTTAACAGAATAAACGTTTAAATTGTATAATGTGTTAAAGTGTATGTTTACATTTTAATGTACATTTACATTTAATGTTTAAATTAGGGGTCGACCAATAAGTTTTTCTGTTTGGCCGATGCATTCGTGGCTGGACTTTTATTTTGATGGCGCTGAGAATGGCAGCGCCTGAACACACAGTGCTCACATGTAGAAAAAAAAATAGTGCTGGTGTTGGATCGGTATTGGCCGATTCTTAGAATTTGGAATACTCTTATATAATCTTACACTGCAAAATAATAACTAAAAAAAGATTAAAAGATAACATCATAATTATTTACTGAACCATTCAATTAATCACAATTATATAATGAAAGCCATAAAAAAAAACAGACAATTAATCGGCATAATCGACAAAGCCCCACATCATAATTATTTACTGAACCATTCAATTAATCACAATTATATAATGAAAGCCATAAAAAAACAGACAATTAATCGGCATAATCGACAAAGCCCCAAAACAGACAATTAATTGCAATAACCGTGACTATTTTTAGACAATTAATCGTCAGCCAAATTTCATAATCGTGACAGCCCTAGTTGGAGGTTGTCCTGCTCCACTTCACAGATGATGAGTGAAAAGAGAGTTTTATAATGACAAGACACTCATTTATACAACATATTATTCAACAGGAAGAATTGCTCGTTCTGCGAGTCATACGTCATTATTTCTACGTCATTGGACATGCGCAGTCCTCTAAGTTTCGGTTTTCAATCCAATCTAGTGTTTACATGCACTCTCAATCGTATAAGAAAAGGAGTAAATCACCCCTTTCAATCCGATCGAAATTTCATTCAGATCATGCTTAATCGGATCGAATAAGGTGTTTAGATGAAGGCTTTTCAGTCCGATTGAGCCGTCAATCCGATTACTAACGGATTATTTGGTTGCATGTAAACACAGCCATTGTAATATGCACACAGGCCCATGTCACATATGCCACTATTGGCTTATAACCTTTTCTGCCATTATGAGATGAAGGAGAGTTAAATATCAACTCTAAACTACTAGAACAGACTGGTGACGAGTGTTGCTTACACAAGTCTCTGAAGTGACCGTCATTACACTCATTTTTTGGGGCTGATAGAACTGGTGTGACAGCACCCCAGGGTGATCTTGGGTGTGTGCAGAGTTTGTTAAACTGCTGTTGTTGAATATGATTGTGTTATTATAGAATAGCTGTACCAGGCATGTGCGTCACTCTGTCACTCGTCCGTTTAATTATGCATCAACACTTCTCTCCGGGTAAAGCTTCACAGACACGACTGTTCATTCACTGCGTGTCACCTTGCTGTCGTACCACTCCCACATCTGGAGGATACTGTTTCTGAACTAATTAAGGTCAGGGTTTGTTTACTGCTAAACTAGGTGTGTTTGTTTGCTGCTTAACTAGCTGTATGGCTTGCAGTCTGGATTGATAACGTGTTTCTTGTTTTCTGTTTGACCATGGATGGTTGATCTTGGTGTGATATGGATTTATGTTCGCAAGATGATTTTTGGCAGTGCCACCTGTTTGCAAAGGGTAAGAAAAATTATTTGTATATTTCCCAGAACACTCAAGAAGAGGTGAGGCTGACATTCATAAAGTGCTTTAAACCACTGCTACAATGTGCATCAGTACAATTTGGATACAAAATATATTTTCATTGAGAAAGATTTAATGCATGTAATTTCATCTTGAAGCTAATTAGTTTGGTTCATGACTTAGTACCCTTTATAGAGTGCAACAGTCAGGTTCTGGAAGTAAAAATGCCATTCATTTTCTCCATAGGAGAATTAATTTTGAACGATAACTTATAAACCTTTGAAGACAGACCTACTTTGAGGTGGTTGTTAATCGATGGTATATGCTTTTGTTGAAGCAGTCATCCCTTATTATTTCTACTTATTTTATAAATGTATATATAAATGTGTAAACATAGATCCATATTTTGAAATCAACTTAAATATTTGAAAAACAACTTTAAATCAATAGTTTTATATGTCGCCATCGTTTTTCATTTGAATATTTAATTCGTGATTCTTCAGGAGATTGTAGTTCTTTCCCTCATTAAAGGGATAGTTCACCCAAAAATGAAAATTAGCCCATGATTTACTCACCCTCAGGGCATCCTAGGCATATCTGACATTCCTCTTTCAGACGAACACAATCGCAGTTATATTTAAAATTGTCCTGGCTCTTCCAAGCTGTATAATGGCAGTGAATGGTGCCCCTGTTTTTTAAGGCCAAAAAAGTGCATCCATCCATCATAAAACTACTCCACACGGCTCCGGAGTGTTAATAAAGGCCTTCTGAAGCGAAACAATGCGTTAGTGTAAGAAAAATATAGATTTTTAAAAATGTATAAACTAATCTCCAGCGACGGAAGCTGGAGATTAGTTGATACATTTTTAAAAATCAAGCCTAGGGTGCCCTGAGGGTGAGTAAATCATGGGCTAATTTTCATTTTTGGGTGAACTATCCCTTTAAAGCTAAATACACTTTTTGTTGCTTATTTTGTAATTTTGTTCCTTTTTGAACAATTTTCAAATACTTTTTTGCTTCAAATCAAAGTTTTTAATGTTGCAATTCACTTTGTAGCTGGACAGTTTGATTCTTGAGCCATATCGCTTTAACAAAGACTTTTTAAAAATCCCTATGGGAAAAATACTTCCAGAACCAAGGATGCTGAAAAAGTGCCTGGACACTGTTCCACGCTATTGAGAAATTTATTGGAATCCAAATGAAGAATGAAACGAAGGCTGATGAAGAACTGGACAGTAACTGTTGAAGTTATTATGGCGAGCTGTGGTAGTGCAGTAAGAGGGTTCATGTGTGCTGAAGTAAGCTGAATAAAGAGGATTACAGCTGGCTGTTATTCTCTCTTTCTTAGGCCCATCTTAAGCCTGAGCTCCACCAACAGACTCCACACATCTCAATTCAACACACCTGAAGCTTTGTCTTTGTTTTATAAAGGTTCATTTTAGACTTTGTAATGATTTTATGCAACGTTCACCACGTTTGTTTGTCCATGGCAGTTTACAAAATTAGTGGGGCAAATTTGATCAAGAAAATAAAAAAAGTTATTTACTTCTGTAGCGCTGTCATCTAGGCCTGTCGCAATAATCAATATATTGACTTATCGCACAATATATGTACATGACCTCAATAATTTTTGGTGACGCAATATATCACCCATTATATTTACTTAATGTCACTATGTTTTGTACATTCCACTTGCGCCTGTGTCTTTTGCAGCTTCTCGTACATAGCGTGGTGTAGTCATGAGGTGCTAGTTCAAATTTTAAAAAATGCTTCTACAAAAAAAAGTTTCATCTGCAGATATGGCCTTGTTTAGGGATCTGTGCCTTTGTGCATACGGTCATCTGACTGCCAAGTAGTGATTGTGTGTTTCAGCAATAGTGTGCACTAGGGCTGCACGATAAATCGCATGCGATATTAACGCGCATATTATCAGTAAAGCCGGTTCTGTAATCAGCGGTAAATCTCCATCACCTGCGTGCTTTCACATTGAGCAGCATTAACTACACAGAGCCGTTGTTCAATCAACCACGTTTATATTCGCGCGATTTTTTTGCGCAGCTCGTCAGTGAACAATGGCTTTGTGTAGTTAATGCTGCTTAATGTGAAAGCACACAGGTGATGGAGATTTACCGCTGATTACAGAACCGGCTTTACTCATAAGATGCACGTTAAATATCGCATGCGATTTATCGTGCAGCCCTATTGTCTACCCATGCTCCAGCATCGAAACAATGGCGGACTGTTGACAGCTCAATCAGGGCAGGTCTAATGTAAAACACCACTGTCAGTCAACAATTGTGGGAGGGGCCTTAGCTTCTTGTCTGTGTGATGTCACACAGACCAAGGCCGCTCCCATGGTAGTTGATTGACACTGGTGCTTTACCTTAGAGAGTCCACCTGACTGCTGCCACCCTCTGCTTCCTGGCTTTTGAAACAGAGGGCTGGTGGAGGCGGGGCTTAGCTAGACCCCACCCCTGTGCTGACCCTCTGAGTGAGACTGGCGCCTCCTGATGGACCAGGGTGGTAGCGAGCAGCCTGGAGCAGAGGAGCCAGACTCTGGGGGTCGAGCAGAGTGGGAGGAAAGCAGGAGGGTGTCCGAGCCTGATCATGGCCTGTCCAAAATTACCCACAATGCCTTGGAGAACATGGGCGTGCTGGGCCACGGCCTGAAGCACTTCTTCCAACCTCAGCGAAGACGCTCGTCCGTCTCGCCGCACGACTACGCCTCTTCCTCCACAGGCCCCATCCCTGAGCCCCCAGAAGCGGGGCCAGAGTTGGGGGAAGTGCCTGCCGTGATGGTTGCTTCCCCTAACTCTGAACCCCACGCTTCCGCCCCCCCTGCAGCTCTGAGCCGTGTGCTGCAGCAAATTCGAGGCCCCCCCATGATGAAGAGAGGGACCAGCCTGCAGAGCCGCCGCAGCAAGTCAGGGGGGGGAGGGGAGGCCCCCCAGAAAGGCAGCCCCCAGATCCACAGGCGCAGTACCCAGGAGACCTTGCTACAGGCGGGACGGCCACGCTCCTCCTCCACCACTGATACACCCAGCAGCCCAGCTTTTTCGGACATGTTGTTGACCTCTGGGTACCACTCCACTGAGGAGGCTGATCGGGTAAGTGCCACATGAATGGCACAGGTTTGTCAAGGTGATTTCTTCAACGATTACTCTCTGGTGGTTGTTGTTGGTAGCCAAGCTACCATTTCCCAAGGTTTCATGGACAGACAAGTTTTAAACTAATATTTAGTGATGTTGGGCAGTAAAAAAAAAAAAAGATTCCCCCCCCCCTCTATTTTTTTAAATATTAAACATAAAATAAAACTTAACTTCTATCAATTTGTGAAAAATATATAATGCTATTAAATCATTTTAAATAATATTAAACAACATAAAAAATCATACATTTTAAATGAGGAATTTTACAATTACAAATGTAAATATAAAAATAATAATAAAATTTTTTAAAGGTCTCTACAATCTTTACAGTCTACAGGCTTTTAGTGATTTTGGGAAATGCAGTCCTGAACTACTGGCCCGACTGAGCATACAGAAAAAAAAAAACCTTGATGTTGAGCAAAATATTCCAGCATGCCTTGTACAGACTAGTAATCATTTTTCCAAGGGAAATGTGATCAGTGTTCAATAGGAGGTAATAGTAGGTTGTTTGAAAGGGATGGGAAGGTAGATTTGAATTTAACAGCAATCTGGGCAGATGGAAATCTGTCTGAAAGAAACCTCCAGGATGGATGGACAAGTTGACCGCATTCACAGGTCAGGTAGCTTGTGTAGGAGGTCACTATGTTCTTAAGCCCTGCTATATTTAGCCAAGTCTTTGGATGCACTTCTGTTGGCAGCATTGAGCATAATGTCGAAATCATTGCCTTTGTGCTTTTTTTCCAACCAGGATGTGAGATCGGGGTAGCTGTTTGCTTTCATTTGTCCTCAAGGATACAGTCAAGGTTAAGTTTGCTCTTGCATGACAGGTGCAGCAACATTATTTAGAACTGCAGTTCAGATAGTTGCAAAACCATTTACACTTCTGCTTAGCCTTTCTCCATTACTAGATGTTTTTCCTGCTGCTCACTCAAAATAGCATTCAAAATTAATTTACAAGAAGAAATTTTGACCAGGACTACTGTATTAAGTCTCTCCAGGGTAATTATGCTTACAGTTCATAGCACTATGCTTTTAAGCATGCATTTTTCAACAGCTAAGCATTTCTACCAGATACACTAAATGGTCTGGGTGACTGCCAAAGTGATTCGACTCACCTGTTGTTGGAGAACTTAGCAGCACCATTCAGAACGTTCCTCTCTCAGGGGAGTGTCCAGACATAAGCTCTGTCTGAGTCTTGTCATTTATTTCAGACCACTGTTTCAGCCTGGCTAGCTCAGTAAATGGAGTTTACGTTGATTTACTGGGTATGGTGTGCTGTTTTTTTGTGTGTAAGTTGAAAAGTACTGCAGTTTTTCCATCTGTTAGCCCATATCTGTGATTACAGTTTAGTTTTTACAGCTTAGTTTTGTTGTCAGTGAAACTTGAGGTCAATGTATTTTGTCACAGAGTTAGCTCAGCTCTGTAAGAGGCTTTAACGCCTTTGTTAATCAGACAGAACTGTGATTCTCAGTTAAACGGGGAGAAAATCCTCTCTTAACCAGTTAGATATGAAAAAGGCATCAAAAGTGAGCTGTAATGTCTCTACAGGCATCTTCTGGGTCTTATTAAATGGGCAGTTGGCCATGTGATCAGTTCACCTAGTTTTCCTGTGCGTGACTGTCCACATTGCTGGGAATTCTACCTATGTGTCTTATATCAAGTTGCAATAGGGGAACTTATTGGCAGTAAACACCTGATCTTATTGGCAATAATAATTATTTTTTTTCATGATCGAATGGTGCTGGTGGGGTTTTAGCCAGTTTATAATGACTTTAATGGATGCTTAGATCATCCGTAGCTGTTTATCTGCGATCAGTGAAGGCCATATCACTGATAATCTGGTTTCGACTTGTCTGTCAATGGGTGGAGGGACAGAGTTCATTTCATTGCAGGGTTGTACTAAAGATTTAACATTACCAAATCTTACTTATACACACAGTATGTTAATCATACTAAAAAAAGAGAGAAAAACATTTTCCTTAATGTTGGTTCCCTTGTCATCATCTTCAATCAGTGAAACTTGAGGTCAATGTATTTTGTCACAGAGTTAGCTCAGCTCTGTAAGAGGCTTTAACGCCTTTGTTAATCAGACAGAACTGTGATTCTCAGTTAAACGGGGAGAAAATCCTCTCTTAACCAGTTAGATATGAAAAAGGCATCAAAAGTGAGCTGTAATGTCTCTACAGGCATCTTCTGGGTCTTATTAAATGGGCAGTTGGCCATGTGATCAGTTCACCTAGTTTTCCTGTGCGTGACTGTCCACATTGCTGGGAATTCTACCTATGTGTCTTATATCAAGTTGCAATAGGGGAACTTGTTGGCAGTAATAATTATTTTTTTTCATGATCGAATGGTGCTGGTGGGGTTTTAGCCAGTTTATAATGACTTTAATGGATGCTTAGATCATCCGTAGCTGTTTATCTGCGATCAGTGAAGGCCATATCACTGATAATCTGGTTTCGACTTGTCTGTCAATGGGTGGAGGGACAGAGTTCATTTCATTGCAGGGTTGTACTAAAGATTTAACATTACCAAATCTTACTTATACACACAGTATGTTAATCATACTAAAAAAAGAGAGAAAAACATTTTCCTTAATGTTGGTTCCCTTGTCATCATCTTCAATTGAAGTGGTGCAGTGTGCCTTTTTTTAAAAAAATTTTTATCAATGAATGTCATGCGTTATCTCAGAACTTTGAGGGCTATGTCATAGTACAGAGGTCCAAACCGTCAACGTCACCTGAAATCGGTGTAGTCACTCACTTAGTTCAAACGTGGCAGGTCTTTCAAGATGGACTGCACTGAAAGTGAACCACCATTAATGGTAATTTATTTCTATTCTTTCTATTGTTGTAGGAAAATAGAGTGCAAAATCTATTCTTTTTCTTATGTTTAAGAAAACATTTTATTGTATTACCTCTCTAGGACTGGGTCACCATCCCAGTTCAATACATTGCAGTGCACAACAATATCTTATTTGAATTGAATGAAACTTTTTGCCACTTTTGTCCACTACCAGAAATGCGCTTATTTTGATTATCTTCTTCTTTATTTGGTGAACCATAGTAAATGATTAGGGATGGACCAATGTTAAAATTCTGACTGATAATTATATTCATGTTTTGGTCAGTAACCAAAAAAAAGTTTTGTTTGTATTAGAAAGCGTTAAAAAACGAATCAGTCATTTTAAATGCTACTAGTCAAATTAAGCATCAAGTCATTATAAGGTACACTATTAAAAAAAAATCATGATTTTTTTTTAAGGTTATATTTAATAGTATTAAAATACTTTAAAATATTACCCTTGCACTCATTTTGTTAAAATTCTGACTGATAATTATATTCATGTTTTGGTCAGTAACCAAAAAAAAAGGGGGTTGATTAAAATTCTGTTTTGTTTGTATTAGAAAGCGTTAAAAAACGAATCAGTCATTTTAAATGCTACTAGTCAAATTAAGCATCAAGTCATTATAAGGTACACTATTAAAAAAAAATCATGATTTTTTTTAAGGTTATATTTAATAGTATTCAAATATTTGTGCTTTAAAATATTACCCTTGCACTCATTTTCATTTTAAAGGGGTCATATGATGCGATTTCAATTTTTCCTTTCTCTTTGAAGTGTTACAAGCTCTTCTACAAGAAGATCTGTAAAGTTGCAAAGACTAAATTCTCAAATCCAAAGAGATATTCTTTATAAAAGCTAAGAGTCAACCACGCCTACCTAAAACGGCTCATTCTAACACGCCCCCACATGTCTACGTCACGATGTGGGAAGATTTGCATAACGCCGCCCAAATGATCACGCAAAAAAAGAACTTTTATTCTTGCTGTAATATTGTTGCCGCCGCCGTGGAGACGCTGTGTGTTTCGTTATGAAAGCGAAACTACTTTGTTTGGCCTTTCAAAAGAGGATGATATCTGCTTTGTCATGCCTAGAGCTGATTCGTGCTGGTCGCTGAGAAAATACATCAACTTCGCGCAGTGGATCGCCGGATCGGCTTTCACCGTGGACAAAGCGGAGTCCAGCCCAGGTCGTCATATGTGGTTGCCGCAAGCCCGCCGGCCGCTCCTTTGTCAAATCCGCCGGCCTCCGCTCACTCAGCCCCACCGGCTGTTCCTCACTCTAGCCGCCGGCCGCCGCTCACTCAAGCCCGCCGTGTGTGATGCTGTGTTTTGTTGTGAAAGCGAAACTACTTTGTTTGGCCTTCCAAAAGAGGACACGACTAGAAATCAGTGGTTAAGTTGTATTTACAACACTGTTCCAGAACACTTCAACTAGGGCTGCACGATATATCGCATGCGATTTATCGTGTAGCCCTAACTTCAACCCAAATATTCAGATGTGTGCAGCACATTTTATGAAGGACTGTTTCATGATCCTGGTAGAGTAGACTACAATGCCGGCTGTTCTGACTCACAGACTGTAAGTAAATTTTTTTATATTTAAAGAATTTGCCACTGACGATTCAAACTCGAGTTTTGAG